ACCCAGGTTCAATTTCCAGTATCTCATATGGCCCCCCAAGCACTGCTAGGAGTAATTCCTGAGTGCAGAGCCAGGAGTAACCTTTGAGCACTGCTGAATATAACCCAAACATTTTTTTTTTAAAAAAAGACGTTTTTCACAGAGTCTTGGTTTATTAACAAACACAACCGATTTTTAAAATACACTCAAGGGCAGATGAACTGCACCATGATTTTTGTTGTTGTTCACCCTGAGCTCCATGACGACAACTCACAAAAAATAACATTTTGCCCTCTTATTCCATCCATAACTGGAATCCTGCTGGAATTCCAGGAAAGCACAGATTTCCAATTGTGAGGCGTAAGTATTGGGTATTTGAAAATCATTTCCTATTTTGAAAAAGGCACAACAGCACGGATTATCATTCTTTTAAGTCACTGCCACTCTCACTGTCCTCCCATTGTTCATCGATTTACTCGAGCGGGCCCAGTAACGTGTCCATTGTGACACTTGTTACCGTATTTGGCATATCGAATACGTCATGGGTAGCTTGCCAGGCTTTGCCATGCGGGCCAAGATACTCTCGGTAGCTTGCCGGGCTCTCCGAGAGAGGCAGAGGAATAGAACCTAGGTTGGCCAGGTCGGCTGCGCACAAGGCAAACGCCCTACCCGCTGTGTTTACACACACACACACACGTCCTTATTTTAGTAAACAACCAGGTTCGGCCCACCTTTCCACTTGGGGACTATTTAAATGGGGAGAAGGGGTCTGGGCAGGCCAGACTCAGCAGTGCTCAAGGTCTACTCCTGGCTCTGTGCTCAGGGATCACTCCTGGTGGTTCTTGGGGGACCCTACAAGGTGCTGGAAATTGCACAAAGGCCTCATGCCTGGTAAGCATCTTGTTCCCTGTACTATCCCTCTGGCCCTGCGCTGTTTAATTTCTTAATGTCTGCTTATTGTGTGTCAAGGAACAGAATTTCTCCAAACCTATCAAGAGCCACCAGGTAAGAATCATGAGATACGGGGCCAGGGGCTAAGGGGTAGTGTAGCAGCGCACTTGCCCAGCGTGTGTGTGTGTGTGTGTGTGTGTGTGTGTGTGTGTGTTGGGGGGAGGGTCTGGGTCCATTCCCAGCACCAAAAAACAGAAAATGTGTCATTCAACCGGGGCCACCAAGCTGTATGCCCAAGAGGAAAAGACGATCAACTAGTTCTAGACCCTGACGCCAAAACTTAGGTGCTAAACAACAATCGCCAATTTCCCTAGCCAAAGACCCACATGACAAACGACGAGTAATTTACAACGCACCAGAAACCATGGCAGGCTGGGCTGGGGAAAGTCGAAGAAGGAAAATCAATGTTTGGAATCCTGCCAGCATATAAGCCACAAACAAGATTAAGAGACAATCCCTGGGCGCGGAGACTTCTTTCTCTCCCAGTTCACACACGGCTTTGAACACCGGCACCTCCCTTAGCTACAATTTGAGGATGAACCACTTCCATGATGAGCTCTGCTTAAAGATATACCCTTCTGTTTCAATCTTTTTTTTTTTTAATAAAGATAACACTGGTTTACTCTATGAGTTAGGGGTACAAGTTGACACCTCTTCAAAATATATCAAGTAACTGGATCTACTTTCACCATAGTCCACTGGACCACCCCCGCTCCTGACCACCACCACCCGCAACGCACCTTCCCTTCTGGTACCCCGGGTTCTGGAATCAAAGGCTCAGGATTCCTTTTTCGCTGGCCTTTGTCGGCTCCTTTTGTTTCTTCATATACCACAGAGGAGTGAATATGACATCACCGGTATTTGTCTTTCTCCTGACTAATCTCACTTAGCCTGACTCCCTCTGGTTCCATCCATATGGTTGCAAAAGGCAAGATTTTTATCTTTTCCAGGAGCTGAGTGGCAGCAAGCTACGTTCATCCGTGACAGTCTCTCTCCCTCAAATCACGAGCCATGCTGACGCATGTGACGCAGGAATGCCTTTGGGTCGACGCCCTTATCTGGCTGTGTTGAAACACTAGCACCCGGGGTTGGAGACGTACGGGAGAAAGGTGCATGCTCCTGGCATGGGCCAATCCTGGTTCAGTCCCGGACACTGTTCAGGGATCCTCCAAGCACTGCCGGGAGTGATCCCAGAGCACAGAGCCAGAGTTGAGCCCTGAGCACCTCCTCTGGGTGGGACCCCACTCCCCTGCCACAGCAAGATTGGCACTAGGGGTGGGGGTGTGGCTCAGGGGAGGAGCACTTGCTGGTCTCATGTGGTTCAATTCTCAGGAAAGAGGGGAGGGGAGGGGAGGGGAGGGGAGAGGAGAGGAGAGGAGAGGAGAGGAGAGGAGAGGAGAGGAGAGGAGAGGAGAGGAGAGGAGAGGAGAGGAGGGGAGGGGAGGGGAGGGGAGGGGAGGGGAGGGGAGGGGAAGGGAGGGGAGGGGAGGAGAGGTAACACAGGAGGTAGGGAATTTGCCTTGCATGTGGCTGACTAGGTTTAATCTCTGGAACTCCATATAGTCCCCCAAGCCTGCCATGAGGGATCCCTGAGTGTAAAATCAGGAGCAAGCTCTGAGCACCTTGGGGTGTAGGGACGCAGGGAGGGAGGGAGGGAGGGAGGGAGAAAGGGGAGGGAGAAAGGGGAGGGAGGGAAGGGATGGAGGAAGGGAAAGAAGGAAGGCAGGAAGGCAGGAAGGAGACACCAGAATTGAGAAACTCACACAACATATATTAAATCTGCCATCATGCACAATGAGGGGAGATTGAAGACAGTTTGCTAAGGAAATGAAATAAGCCAGAAACAAAGCCAGACACAAAAGGATAAAGATTCTCTGATGCCAAAAAGATGAGGTACCTAGAGATGGAATGGTGGTTGCCAAGAGCTGGGCAGAAGGGGAGTTCCGTGGAACAGAGACAGAATTGGAATGCGGGCAAAGGGGCGAGTCTGGGAGCGGGACAAGGCGAGGGCTGGAAAAAGGATGAAGGTTCTGGATCCTGCTCACCTCATCATGGTTCACGTGGTACGTTTTGTAAGTCTACTGAGTACCATAACCAAGTCATATTTGAGGGTGCTTCAAAACTTGAAAAGCATTTCTACATGCGTTAGCCCATCTGACGATCAGGGCGACGGGAAAGAACTACCTGTGGCTCTCTCCTACCCATCTGTGGGTAGCCGATATGCCGACAACCATCCATGGCGAAACAACGGCTTGACCACCATCTGAACTGGGCTCAAAACAGTCTTCTACACAGGCTGCGCTCACCTCTCAGTAGCATACTGGCTTTCGGCATCTCTGCACGTGTCATGGAGCTGCGGGAAGCCCCAGAAATTGGCCCTCTAAGGCCGAAGATGGGAACTTGAATCCCTGAAGGCAAGGCCTTCACTTTCCAGTGTTTCCCAAATGCTCTGAACCGGGAAATTTCATTCTGTACTTATAAGCTGTAGGGGTGTGTGTGTGTGTGTGTGTGTGTGTGTGGTGGATTCCTACTGTGGGAAGTGGTCCCCATGAAAGGTACTCCTTTTTATCCCTACCCACACTGTCTCCTTTCAAAATAAAATTTTAAAAAAAGTAGACAAGACATAATCTGCTGAAAATTCTGGTATGCAGGTTTTGTGACTGAAATCTCCAGGCTTTCTTGGGGGTCAGGATGGGCTACCTCCCCACCAACCTCCCTGTACTTCCAGAAGCCTCGGCAGTCACATCCATACCCCAAAGGGCCACCCAACTGAAACGCTATTCCATCCCTTACCGTCCCAATAAAAATACTGTGTGACCTGAACAAACACCATGACCTCTTACTTCGCATCTATATTGCAAACTAATGCACAAAAGGAAAAGGAAAGGGAGCAAGAAGGAAAGTGCCTCCCATAGAGGGAGGCTGGGGGTAGGGGGTGAGGCACTGGGAGATGGTGGTGGAGAAACGGGAGACATTGGTGGTGGAAAATGTACACTGGTGGAGGGGTGGGTGCTGGATCATTGTATCACTGAAACCCAATTATGAACTCCTTTGTAATGGTCTATCACAAATATTCAGTTTTTTAAAAAAATTTAAAAAAAAGATTCAGAGAAAAAAAGATTCAGAGACTATAAAACTGGCGCCGTGTAATCCCATCAATGGCCAAGATTCAGAGACGATAAAACCCAGCTCCCGGAAGAGAACAGCGCAGAGTCTCCTGCCCCCGCGCCTGGCTGTCCTTGCCGGGGCCCCTTGGAGGGGAGCGGGTTGAGTTTTCCTCCCCGCCCCGACCAGGGCTCCGGCAGCCGAAGACCTCCAGAACCAGCCACCACCATGCTGAGACCACTCTCCGCACACATGAAGGTACCGGCAGAGGGACAAAGCCACGTGGGTTCCGGGCCTGAGATCTCCAGGCCTACTCGGATTGGGGCTGGGCATCCTCCACCCAGATCCTCCAAATTCCAGTAGGCGGGGGTCACACCCACCAACTGGCCCCCTGGAGCCGTGTAATCCCATCAAGGGCCAAGATTCAGAGACTATAAAACCCAGCTCCCGGAAGCGCGCGGCCACATTTGCGGCCGCGCGACATCTTATCATCTCATTTCTACTTTAGACAAACTGGCAGGCTACCGAATGTAACCTGCCCATATGGCAGAGTCTGGCAAACTCCCCGTGGCGTGCCCACTATGCCAAATACCAGTAACAATGAAGGGTCTCATTCTCTTAACTCTGAAAGAGCCTTGAATATGGCACTTTTTAAAAAAAAAAATCTCAGGGCTAGGACGAAGAGACGTTACTGGGGCCTGCTCGAGGCAATTGACGAATAACAGGATGGTTGTGATTGTGATTGTGTTCATGCCCAATTCAATCAGCTTAATCAATGGCTGAATAAATAGCAGTACTCCTACATTAAAAAAAAAAGGTAGTCCAGGTGCTTACTGAAGGGGCAGTTCCAAATATCCATATATCATCTCCAACACTACCCTCAAGTGCTCATCTTCCCTCATGCCAATCTTTCCATCCATTCTAAGAGTCCAACCCAGACCGTGAGGAAGACAGTAATGACTGACCTGGCATCGTCCTTGGCTCTTAAACCTCTTAATCACTGGGCCGGGGTCAGTTGAGATCCACTCGCAGCGTCATGAGTAGGGGCTGCAGAGAGAAATGTCATGTGTCTATATGATGGGTTCGAATAGAGGCTTCTGAAGACATTATAACCACGATGTTCCCCACAACACCCCCATCTCCCACACCCCACTCCCGTCAAACCCAGTCCCTCTGTCTTGTTTGTAATTACTCATCTGGTAATAAATGACTCAGAAAAAAAGAAACAAATATCTCACGCCATGTTAAAGAAACATATCGGAGGAGGAAACCACAGGGTAGAGAGGAAAACAGGTTTTACAAGTGATTTTATATCGCAACAAGACAGAGTCCGAGTCCAATATGGCTCATGAGCAGTTTCTTCACACTAAGCAAATCCAGAACATTCACGAACCAAGATTTCTGATCCACAGCCCGTGCTTTAGCTTTGAACGAGCGGCATCCGTTAACCTTTAATGCTCAGCCATAAATTCTTCACACAAGAAAAGTGTAATATTGCACACATACAGATTTCAATTCCCTGAGCCTCTGATGTCTCCTCCTAGGAGTCAATAAAAAATAAGTTCTAAAAACTAAACTGGGGCTGAAGGAAAAGCACAGTGGGTAGGGCGCTTGCCCTTGTCTATTGCTGACCTGGGTTCAATTCCTGGCATCCCATATGGTTCCCGGGGCACGGTCAGGAGTGATTCCTAAGCGCAGAGCCAGGAGACATCCTTGAGCATCTCTGGGTGTGCCCTAACCCCCCCCAAACAAACAAAAACAAAACAAAACAAACCCTAGAGTTCTGCGGCTAGGAGTTGGGTTGAAGGAAAACCCAGCACCAGCTTTCCGAGCACACACCCGGCCACCACCCGCTCCCCGGCTTCTGCTGCATCTCCGAGAAGGCAATTAAATGGGCCCTAGCTTCAGCGCAGCCTGTTATTTCTTGTTGGGGCTTGCGCTGTTTGCTACGCACCTACCTACGTTCCATTGAGAATGGAGTTTGTCAGCTTCTTTTGTTTGAACTTGACACAATAGGAAAATCCCTTAAGGGTTAATCATTAATCTCAGAATGAAAAATTAAGCAGATCATGAGCAGGTCTTGAGCAAGGGCGAAAGACACCCAAACAGCATCGCGGGCAGCTTCGGGACGGTTCCCAGACCAGAACCGGCTCCGGCGCCATGGCTCTGCATTAGCAGAGAAGCGGCGGGGACTAAGAGATTAAGGCTGAGAGCACGGATGGGAGAGATGGACAGAATCAGGTGGGAATCTGGCTTCGGGTGCTTCACACCGAAGCCGCTGTGAAAGTTCCTTCCCAGCAGACAACGTCCCACTTGGTGAAACAGAAATTATCAGAGTCCATGGAAAATTCTAGTGGGTGTCCCACACCATCAGGCACCATCTGAGGTGCAGAGCTGAAGCATCAAGGGTAGCCTGGGACAAAAGTCAAAGGCACCAACAGGTTGATGAGATGAAGATGTCAAGAGCAAGAGAGCCGGGGCTAGAGAGATAGCACAGTGGGTAGGGCATTTGCCTTGCTGGCAGCTGACCTGGGTTTGATTCCCAGCATCCCATATGGTCCCCCGAGCACCGCCAGGAGTAATTCCTGAGTGCATGAGCCAGGAGGAACTCCTGTGCATCACCGGGTGTGACCCAAAAAGGAAAAAAAAAAAAGAACAAGAGAACCTGGGAAAGGATCCACGAATTGAGTGCCTGGATGTGGGTGATCGCATCTGACACGGATCAGAACCAAAACATGAGAACAGGGAAGCAGGCGTACGATCACCTGGGGTTGCTTTTCAGCCATCAATGACATAGATGAGAAGAGAAAGCCCGAAGAACTGTTACCTAGTCAGATCAGACGCTGATTTTCTAGCTCCATTTTATCATCACAAACGTTTCAGAAAGATGACTCACCCAAAACGAAAGTCACCACCAAAAGCTCATCTTCTAGGGTCCCAGAGAGATAGTCCAGGGGGTAGAGCACTTGCTTCCACAGTCAACCCAGGTTCAATCCCCAGCACCACACAGGGTCCCCCAAGCACTGCCAGGAGCAATCTCTGAGTGCAGAACCAGAGGGATAAGCCTTGAGCACAATTGGGTGTGGTTCAAAAACAAACAGAAACCCAAATTCACCCTTTCAATATATGCAGTAACCAAGGCTGGCTATTAATGCAAAATCACTAGCGGCCAAAAATGTAAATGTCTTGGAAAGAATGTTGCCAATGGTAAGAGTTGGCCCAAACTTGGTAGGAATGTATAAAAGCAAATCCGATTCGTGCAATTAATAGAAATACATTACAGAGATGCCCTCAGTACTATATTCTATAACATGTACATTTGAAAGGTCACGGCTACAAGGAATAAAAAAGTAAATTCCTGGTGTTTCATGGAAGAAGCTGCCAGTATCGAAATGTGTATGCTACTAAATTGACTCAGAGGAGTCAGCACCAAAATTTTCATTCAGAGTCATAACGTTCCCGTTGTGGTGGGAAGAGATAGTAAGAATCCATTGCAATTTTTTTTATCTTATTTTTGTAGGGAATAAATTTTTTATTTACATTTTTATGGGGTGGGGGGGTGGTGTCTGGGTCACATTCTGCAGTCTTCAGGGGTCACCGCTGGCTCTGCACTCAGGAATCACTCTAGGGGTGCTTGGGGACCATATGGGATACCGGGATCGAACCCAAGCTGGTTGTGTACAAGGCAAATGGCTACCCACTGAACGATCGCTCTGGCCCTGCAACTGTGAATTTTAGAGCAGGGACCAATCCTCGAGAGCAGGGGAACATCACGGCCTGTGAACTCCTGTGGCTTGGCCGTGGCACACACGGGATGGATACACGCATTCATCTGGCCCTGCCTCTTCTTACAGTATGACTGAGAATGACGCAGTAGATATCTACATGGCCCTTGGCAGGAAAGCAAGATTCACCAGCCCTGATCTCGAGAATAAAACATGCTCATTTTTTGTTGACAAGCATAAACAGAAGCAACTGAGGGTGACACATGATGATGTGTGCTTGGGTTTAGGATGGGGACAAGGGTGGGATCTGGCATCAGTTCTATGACATAATTATGGTTCTCCTCATCACTTGGCCAAGAAGGACCCTGCTCATGGGCCCCGCCCTGAAACCCAGAGATCTCTTCCTACAGGGTCTAGTTTATAAGAGATTACCGTGAAATTCAAAACAGACATTAAAACCCTGGGCCCAATTTCTTACTCTTCTTTGAACCCTCTAATTATGCAGCCCCTAACTACAGAACACAAACAAGAGCAGGAACAAAGACAATGCTTGAAGTGAGAAGCATTATGAAGGAACTGAGGGGCCCAGGAGACGGTACAACCCATGCGACGCATATGCCCAAACCAAGTTCAAGGTCCAGCACCATATGGTCTCCTCACAAGCCTTGCCAAGTGCATCCCGGGCTGACCCGCAACCGCCACTAGAAATATCCCTGGGGGGTCCCCAAAACCATAAGGCATCCTCGGCCCCTCGCAGCGCCAGGATGGCTAAGCATCTAGTGGGGGCACCTTGGTATCACTAAGCCTCCCCCCAAATATATACAAAATAAGAAATAAAGGAGTTCTGATTGGAATCTTACTCACAGTGCAATCACCAAAGTGTAGAGGACAACAGGAGCTGACCAGAGTCTGCTATGTCAGTGGGATATTAAGCTCGGAGAATGAAAAACCTTATTATTCAGCTCGTGACTGAAATGCCAACGATGTGGCAGAAGGAATGCGTGGTGGATTCTAAGTACCTCCTGAGCTTCAAATCTGGATTATGGAGAGGCTTGGCCTCAGCAATTATTAGCATTCAAAATGATTTACAACTGTTAAACCAAATGATCTTTTACACAAACGACTCATTCCGAAGGGCAATGACAAACAGCACACGCTAATGACACCATCAATATGAACCTCTAGGGGCTGGAGCAATAGTACAGCGGGTAGGGCGCTTGCCTTGCACCCGGCCGACCCAGGTTCGATTCCCAGCATCCCATGTGGTTCCCCGAGCACCACCAGGAGTGATTCCTGAGTACAAAGCCAGGAGTAACCCCTGAGCATCGCCGGGTGTGACCCAAAAAGCAAAAAAAAAAAAAAAAAAGAAAGAACCTCTATTCCAACAGTCTCCATGAAAGTGAAGCATGGAAGATGTTCACGGGGTTTCTGACTCACAGCCGCAGTGGGGTTGGGAACCACGTTAGGTTCATCACTCTGAGTAACCCTCACGGTCACGGTCAGTTATTCATTGATTTTCTCGAGCGGGGGCCCAGTAACATCTCCATTGTGAGACTTGTTACTGTGTTTGGCATATTGAATACATCAAGGCAGCTTTGCTATGCAGGCGAGAGACTCTCGGTAGCTTGCCGGGCTCTCTGAGAGGGACGGAGGAATTGAACCCGGGTTGGCCAGGCCCGCTACGTGCAAGGCAAATGCCCTACCGCTGTGCTATCGCTCCAGCCCTAAGAGTAACCCTCAAACAAAGAAAAAAGCCCCTTTTATTCAACTCTTAGAGGGCTCCAGACTGGCCTGAAAATGTCGTATCAAAGTTATACCAAAGATTATGGGGCTTGATCAAAGTAGTCACAGAAAAATGTCATTGGAGTGGGTGAGCAGAGGGAAGGGAAATGACCTTCAAAACTTCAGGTCCAAGGGCTGCAGAGATAGTACAGCAAGGAGGGCACTTGTCTTGCACGTAGCTCACCCAGTCTTGATCTCCGTCATCCCAGATGGTCCCCCCAAGCACCACCAGGACTAATTCCTGAGTGCAGAGCCAGCAGTAATCTTGAGCATTGCTTGTGTGACACCCCACCCCACACCAAAAAATAAATAAATAAAACTCCAAAACTTAAGGTCCAAAATGTAAGAGAATACACCTATTACATCTCAACTTGAAATGTGTCAGCTCTTTTTCCTTGAGAGAAGCCATCAGGAGAATCTCTTTTTCTGATTTGTGCTTTGTTTTGTTTGGAGGCAGGGAGCTGGGCCTCTTTCAGTGGTGCTCAGGGTTTAGTCCAGGGTCTGTGCTCAGGGATCATGCTTGGCAGTGCTTGGGAAACT